GTGCGGTGTAATGTCCCTTTGTGCCACTCACGCTGTCGTCCTCCGCTCTCTCTCGGATCGTGGCTCCACCCAGCTCCATCAGCTCGTGATCCGAGTCGGCCGGGGTTGGAACGGGCAGACCCCCTCCAGGACGTCCTCTGGCCGCCAGCAGGTTGTCCAAACGGATGGCCATGTCCACCAGTTGCGTGAAGGACAACATGGTTACCTGGCAGGCTAGCTCCCTGCGGACGTCCTCCTGCAGATGGCACCGTAAGTGGTCGATAAGGGCCCGCTCGTTCCACCCGGACCCAGCTGCTAGAGTCCGAAACTCCAAGGCGAAGTACTGCACAGTCCTCGTCCCCTGCCTCAGGTGGACCAGCCGCTCGCCCGCCTCTCGACCGTCGGGCGGGTGATCGAAGACAGCCCAAAAGAGGCGAGCGAACGCCCCGTAGTTGTCCAACGCGGCTCCTCCTTCGTTCTAGACCACGTTGGCCCACTCCAGGGCTTTCCCAGAGAGGCAGGAGACGAGGGCGGACACCTTCTCCCGCTCCGATGGGGCCGGCCTGATGCTGGAGAAGTAGAGCACCAGTTGGAGGAGGAATCCCTGGCAGAGAGCAGCTGTCCCGTCGAACTCCCGTGGTCGGGATATATGGATCCCTCTGGGTGCTGGGGTGTGGGTGGCTGGATCCGGTTGCCCAGCTGGTCTCGACAGATCGGGTCCTCTCCTCTCCAGGCGTTGGACGACCTGGAGAACCCGATCCATCACTTCTCCCAAGCTGGCTAGCATTGTTGAATGCTCCTGGACCCGTGCCACGACTCCAGGCATGCGCTCCTCTCCCGCTGACTCCATAGTTGGTGGGTGATTCTGTGATGCGTAATTTGAAGGAGTCAGGCGCAGGAGGGTAAATCATAGTATACAGAGTTTATTCCGTAATCCAGCGTAACCAGTCCAGTGCGCAAAACAGGCGCACTGGAACAAACATGCACATGGGGAAAATACCCCGGCAATACAAAATACTGAGCTCAACCGAGCTACTAATCCTCACAATGAACAATCACCCACAAGGACAAGAGGGCAGAGGGAACACTTAAACACATACTAATGTGGGGAATAACAACCAGGTGTGTGTAATTGACAAGACAAGACAAACGGAATGATGAGATACGGAGCGGCAGTGGCTAGAAGGCCGGTGACGACGAACGCCGAAGCCTGCCCGAACAAGGAGGGGAGGCAGCTTCGGAGGAAGTCGTGACACAAACAAAGGATCCAGGTCAGGGAAGTCTAATTTCTGGTGAGTGACCGCCGATCTATTATCCAAAAGTTATTTCCGATCATGGTAATAATACAAGAAAAGTTGTAAGCAAATAATATAAGAAATAACACACACACAAAAAAATACTGCAAATCTGGCGTTTCCTTCAGGCCTGTCGTGAAATGTTTTATCCGACATGAACTTTACTAGCATAAAGAGGTTGGATGGAAGCCTGGTGAATTCAACAGTAGGAAGTTAGCTTAATGAATGAAGTTGATGCGGTAACTAAAACTAGCTGTACCTCTTGATTGGTAGAAATTATTTCTGTTCTGATTTCATATTGAAATATTACAGAAGTAGAGGAAGATTTCATACGCTCTAACTTTTTGTCTAACTTGTTAGGAAAGTGGTCAAAGTGCTGATTTGTGCCGAAAGTTATTGTTTACAGTGAATGTTGGAAATCTGGGAGTTTTTAAACAATGGAACCATTAGAATGTTGAAGAAAATCCCTTTAAAAAGTGGATGAAGGACAAAAAGCCTAATAGTTAAAAAAGTATAAAAGATATCAAGTAGTTGTATACAAGCAACATAATCCAGACCAGTCTACACATTTTAATGTTTGAACGGCTTAAAAGTTTAAACGGCGTTCCAAGGATTAACTATAATAACTAGATTATAATTTTACATTTTGTAAAATTGTGTGCCTTGCTCCAGCTCGTTAAAAGTATTTTTGTGGTAGTGGAAGAAGTGTTCTGATTTCTGATTTAAATAGCAGAGAAGTAGACAAAGATTTCTTCGCTCCAAGTTTCTCTAAATTGTTGGGATCAAAACTTCAGTTGTTTATAAAACATTAGAAAAGGTAGTTGGTGCGGTTACTAAAACAGCTGTATTGTTAGATTGGTAAAATACATTTGTGTTGTGATTTCAGATTTGAATAGCAGATAAGTAAAGATACCATACACTAACATTTTTTCTAACTTGTTGGGAAAGTGGTCAAAGTAGTTGATTTGTGTCAAAAGTTGCATTCACAGTCAAAGGAATGTCGGAAGTCATGACACTGACGACCGTGTCAGCGTGCATGCGCCCGGCCCACCACAGGAGTCGCTAGAGTGCAATGGGACAAGGACATCCCGGCCGGCCAAACCTTCCCCTAACCCGGACGACACCGGGCCAATTGTGTGCCTCCTCATGGGTCTCCCGGTCGCGGCCGGTTGCAACACAGCCTGGGATCGCACCCGGGTCTGTAGTGACACCTCTAGCACTGCGATGCAGTGCCTTAGACCGCTGCGCCACTCGGGAGGCATTTCTATCTTAAACGGTGTTAGAGTGCTAAATAATAACAATAATAACAACAATATTGAAAGTGTGGCTGCTGTCACAACCCACACTAAACAGTCAGAAGTATGACAAAGATTTAAAAAGTGGGATGTTTTGCTGAAGCATGGTGAGTTGATTAGTTCAATCAAGTGTTAGCGCAAAAACTAAAATGTGCGCCCTTTGGGTCCCCGGGACCAAGATTGGGAAACACTGATTTACTGTAGGTCACCTCACTGGTCCTGGAGGTCACCGAGCTTCAACCCCATCTGACCACACTCTGCTGTGGCCCAAGGAGGCTCCTCTCCCAGACTCTGCTGTGGCCCAAGGAGGCTCCTCTCCCAGACTCTGCTGTGGCCCAAGGAGGCTCCTCTCCCAGACCCAATTGTGCGCCGCCCCATGGGGTCTCCCGGTCGCGGCCGGCTACGACAGAGCCTGGATTCGAACCAGGATCTCTAGTGGCACAGCCTTAGACCACTGCGCCACTCACAGTGGTCTTGAAAGAGCTGATGTGAAAAGATATATAATGTGATTAATCAAAATAACAACTAGTGGAAAAAATATGAGAATTGGGCTGCCTGTTTAAACACAGCCATGGTGGCCCAGAGGGTGTGTTTTGATCAGGCTACACACACCAAATGGAAGAAAACATTGAAGAATGCTGCAAAACCATCACTGAATGTAGCAAAACGTTTAATGAACTGAACGCACCATGGCAGACTTGCCCTCTCAGCACTAGCAGTGTTTGATTGGTTGTTTTCCTTTCCACGATAAATGTTACAAAAATCTTTAGCTTTTCAAGCTCATACAGAACACACATTAAAACCAACTCCAAATGTTCTCAATCATAAAAGGTGATTTTCACAAATTCCTCTTTTTCATATCAACATTCATATCATCTGATCATATACAGTTGAAGTCGGAAGATTACGTACACTTAGGTTGGAGTCATTAAAACTCGTTTTCCAACCACTCCACAAATTTCTTGTTAACAAACTATAGTTTGGTCAAGTCGGTTAGGACATCTACTTTGTGCATGACACAAGTAATTTTTCCAACAATTGTTTACAGACAGATTATTTCACTTATAATTCACTGTATCACAATTCCAGTGGGTCAGAAGTTTACATACACTAAGTTGACTGTGCCTTTAAACAGCTTGGAAAATTCCAGAAAATGATGTCATGGCTTTAGAAGCTTCTGATAGGCTAATTGACATAATTTGAGTCAATTGGAGGTGTACCTGTGGATGTATTTCAAGGCCTACCTTCAAACTCAGTGCCTCTTTGCTTGACATCATGGGAAAATCAAAAGAAATCAGCCAATAACTCAGAAAAAAAATGAGTCTGGTTCATCCTTGGGAGCAATTTCCAAATGCCTGAAGGTGCCACGTTAATCTGTACAAACAATAGTACGCAAGTATAAACACCATGGGACCACGCAGCCGTCATACCGCTCAGGAAGAAGACACGTTCTGTCTCCTAGAGATGAATGTACTTTGGTGTGAAAAGTGCAAATCAATCCCAGAACAACAGCAAAGGACCTTGTGAAGATGCTGGAGGAAACAGGTACAAAAGTATCTATATCCACATTAAAACGAGTCCTATATTGACATAACCTGAAAGGCCACTCAGCAAGGAAGAAGCCACTGCTCCAAAACCGCCATAAAAAAGCCAGACTACGGTTTGCAACTGCACATGGGGACAAAGATCGTACTTTTTGGAGAAATGTCCTCTGGTCTGATGAAACAGAAACAGAACTGTTTGGCCATAATGACCATCGTTTTGTTTGGAGGAAAAGGGGGGTTCTTGCAAGCCGAAGAACACCATCCCAACCGTGAAGCACGGGGGTGGCAGCATCATGCTGTGGGGGTGCTTTGCTGCAGGAGGGACTGGTGCACTTCACAAAATAGATGGCATCACGAGGAAGGAGAATTATGTGGATATATTGAAGCAAAATCTCAAGACATCAGTCAGGAAGTTAAAGCTTGGTCTCAAATGGGTCTTCCAAATGGACAATGACCCCAAGCATACTTCCAAAGTTGTGGCAAAATGGCTTAAGGACAACAAAGTCAAGGTATTGGAGTGGCCATCACAAAGCCCTGACCTCAATCCTATAGAAAATGTGTGGGCAGGACTGAAAAAGCGTGTGCGAGCAAGGAGGCCTACAAACCTGACTCAGTTACACCAGCTCTGAGTGAGCCAAAATTCACCCAACTTATTGTGGGAAGCTTGTGGAAGGCTACCCGAAACGTTTGACCCAAGTTAAACAATTGAAAGGCAATGCTACCAAATACTAATTGAGTGTATGTAAACTTCTGACCCACTGGGAATGTGATGAAAGAAATAAAAGCTGAAATAAATCATTCTCTCTACTATTATTCTGACATTTCACATTCTGTTATTTTGTGACTTTGCAATCATCTATGCCACTATGACCAGTCTTCCACCCATCTCAGTGGCCGGTCTTGTACACCACATCTCCAACCTGGAGGATCCCTGTCTTGCTGACGATGTACATCTGTCCAAACAGAGGAGCTGCCTTATAGATGTTCTTCTGGGATGGGTCACACATTCGATAGCTGGAAAGCAAAGACGCCGGAGGAGTTAATAACTTTCTATAAGCTAGTTCTAGTGGTTCTATATCATAGAACTGTAGCTCAGCTACAGATAGATAGAAGCCCTGTGCAGACAGACAGTAGGAGATAGAAGCCCTGTGCAGACAGACAGTAGGAGATAGAAGCCCTGTGCAGACAGACAGTAGGAGATAGAAGCCCTGTGCAGACAGACAGTAGGAGATAGAAGCCCTGTGCAGAAGTAGGAAACCAGACAGTAGGAGACAGAAGCCCTGTGCAGACAGACAGTAGGAGATAGAAGCCCTGTGCAGACAGACAGTAGGAGATAGAAGCCCTGTGCAGACAGACAGTAGGAGATAGAAGCCCTGTGCAGACAGACAGTAGGAGACAGAAGCCCTGTGCAGACAGACAGTAGGAGATAGAAGCCCTGTGCAGACAGACCAGTAGGAGATAGAAGCCCTGTGCAGACAGACAGTAGGAGACAGAAGCCCTGTGCAGACAGACAGTAGGAGATAGAAGCCCTGTGCAGACAGACAGTAGGAGATAGAAGCCCTGTGCAGACAGACAGTAGGAGATAGAAGCCCTGTGCAGACAGACAGTAGGAGATAGAAGCCCTGTGCAGACAGACAGTAGGAGATAGAAGCCCTGTGAAGACAGACAGTAGGAGATAGAAGCCCTGTGCAGACAGACAGTAGGAGATAGAAGCCCTGCTCAGCTACAGATAGATAGAAGCCCTGTGCAGACAGACAGTAGGAGATAGAAGCCCTGTGCAGACAGACAGTAGGAGATAGAAGCCCTGTGCAGACAGACAGTAGGAGACAGAAGCCCTGTGCAGACAGACAGTAGGAGACAGAAGCCCCTGTGCAGACAGACAGTAGGAGACAGAAGCCCTGTGCAGACAGACAGTAGGAGATAGAAGCCCTGTGCAGACAGACAGTAGGAGATAGAAGCCCTGTGCAGACAGACAGTAGGAGACAGAAGCCCTGTGCAGACAGACAGTAGGAGATAGAAGCCCTGTGCAGACAGACAGTAGGATATAGAAGCCCTGTGCAGACAGACAGTAGGAGATAGAAGCCCTGTGCAGACAGACAGTAGGAGATAGAAGCCCTGTGCAGACAGACAGTAGGAGATAGAAGCCCTGTGCAGACAGACAGGAGATAGAAGCCCTGCTCAGCTACAGATAGATAGAAGCCCTGTGCAGACAGACAGTAGGAGATAGAAGCCCTGTGCAGACAGACAGTAGGAGACAGAAGCCCTGTGCAGACAGACAGTAGGAGACAGAAGCCCTGTGCAGACAGACAGTAGGAGACAGAAGCCCTGTGCAGACAGACAGTAGGAGACAGAAGCCCTGTGCAGACAGACAGTAGGAGATAGAAGCCCTGTGCAGACAGACAGTAGGAGACAGAAGCCCTGTGCAGACAGACAGTAGGATATAGAAGCCCTGTGCAGACAGACAGTAGGAGACAGAAGCCCTGTGCAGACAGACAGTAGGAGACAGAAGCCCTGTGCAGACAGACAGTAGGAGATAGAAGCCCTGTGCAGACAGACAGTAGGAGATAGAAGCCCTGTGCAGACAGACAGTAGGAGACAGAAGCCCTGTGCAGACAGACAGTAGGAGACAGAAGCCCTGTGCAGACAGACAGTAGGAGACAGAAGCCCTGCTCAGTAATATCCACATTGGCCTCTTAGCCACATAGTACTTTATCATAGATGGCAGTTTTCAAGAGAATCAAATTTTGTAATGCATTGTGGGCAAATTGTGACTGACTGATCTTCAAATAATAATGAGTAGATATGTATGATGCAAAGTGATTTGTAGATCAGTCAGTAAGCAGTTACTTGCACTATCAAGCTGCAATATCGAACAAGCCCAATGACAGATAGTCTTTCTATCATAGACTTATATCCTACACTGAACAAAAATATAAACGCAACAAAGATTTTACTGAGTTCCAGTTCATATAACAAAATCAGTCCATTGAAATAAATTCATTAGGCCCTGATCTATGGATTTCACATGACTGGGAATACAGATATGCATCTGTTGGTCACATATACCTTTTTTATAAAGGTAGGGGCGTTGATCAGACAACCAGTCAGTATCTGGTGTGACCACCATTTGCCTCATGCAGCGCGACACATCTCCTTCGCATAAAGTTGATCAGGCTGTTGATTATGGCTGGTGGGAATGTTGTCCCACTCCTCTTCAATGGCTGTGCGAAGTTGCTGGATATTGGCGTGAATTGGAACACGCTGTCGATCCAGAGCATCCCAAACATGCTCAATGGGTGACATGTCTGGTGAGTATGAAGGCCATGGAAGAACTGGGACATTTTCAGCTTCCAGGAATTGTGTACAGATCCTAGCGACATTATCATGCTGAAACATGAGGTGATGGCGGCGAATGAATGGCACGACAGTGGGTCTCAGGATCTCGTCACAGTACCTCTGTGCATTCAAACTGCCATCGATAAAATGCAATTGTCTTTGTTGTCCGTAGCTTATGCCTGCCCATACCATAACCCCACCGCCACCATGGGGCACTCTGTTCACAACATTGACATCAGCAAACCGCTCGCCCACACAACGCCATACACACTGTCTGCCATCTGCCCGGTACAGTTGAAATCGGGAATCATCCGTGAAGAGCACACTTCTCCAGTGTGCCAGTGACCATCGAAGGTGAGCATTTGCCTACTGAAGTTGGTTACCACGCCGACCTGCAGTCAGGTCAAGACCCTGGTGAGGACGACGAGCACGCAGATGAGCTTCCCTGAGACGGTTTCTGACAGTTTGCTCTGAAATTCTTCGGTTGTGCAAACCCCCAGTTTCATCAGCTGTCCGGGTGGCTGGTCTCAGACGATCCCCCAGGTGAAGAAGCCAGATGTGGAGGTCCTGGGCTGGTGTGGTTACACGTGGTCTGCGGTTGTGAGGCCGGTTGGACGACTTGCCAAATTCTCTAAAACGACATTGGAGGCGGCTTATGGTTGAGAAATTAACATTAAATTCTCTGGCAACAGCTCTGGTGGAAATTCCTGCAGTCAGCATGCCAATTGCACGCTCCCTCAAAACTTGACATTTGTGGCATTGTGTTGTGTGAAAAAACAGCACATTTTAGAATGGCCTTTTTATTGTCCCCAGCACAAGGTGCACCTGTGTAATGATCATGCTGTTTAATCAGCTTCTTGACATGCCACACCTGTCAGGTGGATGGATTATCTTGGCAAAGGAGAAATGCTCACTAACAGGGATGTAAACAAATTTGTGCACAAAAGTTGAGAGAAATAAGCTTTTGGTGCGTATGGAACATTTCGGGGATCTTTTATTTCAGCTCATGAAACACTTTACATGTTGCGTTTATATTTTTGTTCAGAATATATAGTGCAAGCTACTCTGTTACCTTTTGAGTGTATCCAGTGGCTGTTTCCTGGTGATGACTCCTGTTTCAGGGTCAACCGTGGTGGAGATGCATCTGATAATGATGACAAATAAGGATGACATCCTCTACTTAACACCTTAACAGTAGTTTAATATAATATAGTGACCCTGTCTTTATATAGTTTTTTTTATATACTATATAACCACAGGGTCACTAGATTATATACAACTATATAACCACAGGGTCACTAGATTATATACAACTATATAACCACAGGGTCACTAGATTATATACAACTATATAACCACAGGGTCACTAGATTATATACAACTATATAACCACAGGGTCACTAGATTATATACAACTATATAAACACTATAATATATTTTAAAAGCTATATAAACACGGGGTCGCGACAATAGTAAACCTTGATAGTGCCCGTAGCAACTGGAGTAAGCTTGTGGTGATGATAACGATGATCAGTAGTTAAGACCACATTACCTTCCACACGCCATCACACGGTGCAGCCGTACATTGCCAATCTGGATATCTTCCCAAGAATCCTGACCAAGAGCAAGATCAAGTTAACGTATTGTTTATGGGAATAGGATTAGTATCCTCAACCCCGAACACACTGGAACAAAATTATGACTAAGTGCAATTACAAGAGTCCACTTTTAGCCTCACTTTTAGCCTCACTTCAGGACAAGTATCCAAAGAATATATTATTTTTTTAATGTTTAGTCATTTAGCAGACGCTCTTATCCAGAGCGACTTACATTATCTTTTTTTTTTTTTTTTTTTTTTTTTTTTTATACTGGCCCCCCGTGGGAATTGAACCCACAACCCTGGCGTTGCAAACGCCATGCTCTACATCCCTGCCGGCCATTCCCTCCCCTACCCTGGACGACGCTGGGCCAATTGTGTGCCGCCCCATGGGTCTCCCGGTCGTGGCCGGCTACGACAGAGCCGATATACCCATAGAATTACATATAGAATTGAATAGGAACTCTGGATATACCAATATAACCTATGTCCTCAATTACAGAATAAACGAGACTTTACTAAAACTATATACAGTGCCTTCGGAAAGTATTCAGACCCCTTGACTTTTTCCACATTTTGTTACGTTACAGCCTTATTCTAAAAATGCATTACATTTTTTTAAAACCTCAGAAATCTACACACAATACCCCATAATGACAAAGTGATAACAGGTTTTTAGAAATGTTTGCAAATGTATAAGATCTTAAAAACAGAAATACCTTATTTACATAGGTATTCAGACCATTTGCTATGAGACTCGAAATTGCGCTCAGGTGCATCCTGTTTCCATTGATCATACTTGAGATGTTTCTACAACTTGATTGGTCATGATTTGGAAAGGCACACACCTGTCTATATAAGGTCCCACAGTTGACAGTGCATGTCAGAGCAAAAACCAAGCCATGAGGTCGAAGGAATTGTCCGTAGAGCTCTGAGACAGAATTGTGTTGAGGCACAGATCTGGGGAAAGGTACCAAAAAATGTCTGCAGCATTGAAGGTCCCCAAGAACACAGTGGCCTCCATCATTCTTAAAACGAAGAAGTTTGGAACCACCAAGACTCTTCCTAGAGTTGGCCACCCAGACAAACTGGGAGAATGGGAGAACCTTCCAGAAGGACAACCATCTCTGCAGCACTCCACCAATCAGGCCTTTATGGTAGAGTGGCCAGACGGAAACCACTCCTCAGAAAAAGGCTCATGACAGCCCGCTTGGTCTGATGAAACCAAGATTGAACTCTTTGGCCTGAATGTCAAGTGTCACGTCTGGAGGAAACCTGGTACCATCCCTACAGTGAAGCATGGTGGTGGCAGCATCATGCTGTGGGGGATTTTTTTCAGCGGCAGGGACTGGAAGACTAGTCAGGATCGAGGCCAAGATGAACGGAGCAAAGTACAGAGAGATTCTTAATGAAAACCTGCTCCATAGCGCTCAGGACCTCAGACTGAGGTGAAGGTTCACCTTCCAACAGGACAACGACCCTAAGCACACAGCCAAAACAACGCAGGAGTGGCTTCGGGACAAGTCTCCGAATGTCCTTGAGTGGCCCAGCCAGAACCCGGACTTGAACCCGATCGAACATCTCTGGAGAGACCTGAAAATACCTGTGCAGCGACGCTCCCCATCCAACCTGACAGAGCTTGAGAGGATCTGCAGAGAAGAATGGGAGAAACTCCCCAAATACAGGTGTGCCAAGCTTGTAGCGTCATACCCAAGAAGACTCGAGGCTGTAATTGCTGCCAAAGGTGCTTCAACAAAGTACAGAGTAAAGGGTCTGAATACTTACGTAAATGCGATATTTCCATTTTTATTTTTTATACATTAGCAAAAATGTCTAAAAACCTGTTTTTGCTTAGTCATTATGGGGTATTGTGTGTAGATTGATGAGGAAAAAAACAATTTAATCAATTTTAGAATAAGGCTGTAACGTAACAAAATGTGGAAAAAGTCAAAGGGTCTAAATACTTTCCGAAGGCGCTGTATCTGATGTTGTTTGATGTATACATGTTGATGTGTGTTGATGTTGTTTGATGTATACATGTTAATGTGTGTTGATGTTGTTTGATGTATACATGTTGATGTGTTTTGATGTATACATGTTGATGTGTGTTGATGCGTGTTGATAAAGTTGAAAACAACAAAACCGTACCTCATCAAAAGCGTCACAACCGCTGACAACGATGCTGGGTCGGAACCGTGCCACAGTGACCTCCTTCTCCAGCCTACTGCTCAAGTCCTTCACAGAGGATTCAGACAGCAGCATGACAGGACCAATGTCAGGGTAGACCACCTAGACAGCAACATGACAGGACCAATGTCAGGGTAGACCACCTAGACAGCAACATGACAGGACCAATGTCAGGGTAGACCACCTAGACAGCAACATGACAGGACCAATGTCAGGGTAGACCACCTAGACAGCAACATGACAGGACCAATGTCAGGGTAGACCACCTAGACAGCAACATGACAGGACCAATGTCAGGGTAGACCACCTAGACAGCAACATGACAGGACCAATGTCAGGGTAGACCACCTAGACAGCAACATGACAGGACCAATGTAGGGTTGACCACCTAGACAGCAACATGACAGGACCAATGTCAGGGTTGACCACCTAGACAGCAACATGACCGGACCAATGTCAGGGTAGACCACCTAGACAGCAGCATGACCGGACCAATGTCAGGGTAACACCACCTAGACAGCAACATGACAGGACCAATGTCAGGGTAGACCACCTAGACAGCAGCATGACAGGACCAATGTCAGGGTAGACCACCTAGACAGCAACATGACAGGACCAATGTCAGGGTACACCACCTAGACAGCAACATGACAGGACCAATGTCAGGGTAGACCACCTAGACAGCAACATGACAGGACCAATGTCAGGGTAGACCACCTAGACAGCAACATGACAGGACCAATGTCAGGGTAGACCACCTAGACAGCAACATGACAGGACCAATGTCAGGGTAGACCACCTAGATAGCAACATGACAGGACCAATGTCAGGATAGACCACCTAGACAGCAACATGACAGGACCAATGTCAGGGTAGACCACCTAGACAGCAACATGACAGGACCAATGTCAGGGTAGACCACCTAGACAGCAACATGACAGGACCAATGTCAGGGTAGACCACCTAGACAGCAACATGACAGGACCAATGTCAGGGTAGACCACCTAGACAGCAACATGACAGGACCAATGTCAGGGTAGACCACCTAGATAGCAACATGACAGGACCAATGTCAGGGTAGACCACCTAGACAGTGTAGTGTCTGAAGGTCTATTGATTTTGCTGATGTTTGCAAATGGTGTAATAGATGAACTTTACTCTGCTTTGCTGAAGCATTTGGAAAAGCATTGCTACATAGGTTTCTTGGAATAGAGGACATTTGGAGATATGTGAAAGCCGGGGATTGGTTTATTAAAATCACGCCATATTATGTTACATAGGATATAAATACCAGGTTCTGAACAAATGGAGGGGGAGAGACAACATATGGGATCAACAGATTGGCCGTTTCTCTCCAGATATAACTGCAGATATCTGTAAATTAATACTGTGAACTTTGATACAATAAATCTTTATAATCAAAGAACAGTGTAAGCGGACTTCTTATCATCACAGCATAATTAGCAACGTTGACTTGGACACCACAACAGCAGCATGACAGGACCAATGTCAGGGTAGACCACCTAGACAGCAACATGACAGGACCAATGTCAGGGTAGACCACCTAGACAGCAACATGACAGGACCAATGTCAGGGTTAGACCACCTAGACAGCAACATGACAGGACCAATTGTCAGGGTAGACCACCTAGACAGCAAATGACAGGACCAATGTCAGGGTAGACCACCTAGACCGCAACTGACAGGACCAATGTCAGGGTAGATCCCACCTATATACAGCCAACATGACAGGGACCAATGTCAGGGTAGACCAACCTAGACAGCAACATGGACAGGACCAATGGTCAGGGTAGACCACCTAGACAGCAACATGACAGGACCAATGTCAGGGTAGACCACCTAGACAGCAACATGACAGGACCAATGTCAGGGTAGACCACCTAGACAGCAACATGACAGGACCAATGTCAGGGTAGACCACCTAGGGATGTGGTGGAGGTAAGTTGGATAAGCTCTCATGATGAGATAGCCCTGCCTAAGACTTAAAATGCAGTGTCACCCTTGACCTGAAAAGGAATTTCCTCTTGGCCTAATGGTTACGTGGTTGGTTTCCTGACTGGGAGACCAGGGTTCAGATCCTACCTGTTACGGGCACAGATTTGCACAGCAACAACAATTACGACATGCTGCTCTTTGTGTTGTTGAACCCAGAGTCACATGGAGTGAAAACCTCCTGAAATCTGTCATTTGGCACACCATTTTTTTTTCCAAGATCAGAAAAAAATAATAACCCATCTCTTAAATAATTCACATTGGAACATATCAACTTCAAGTGCTAAAGGTAGTAGCATGCAATTATTTAAAAAAATGTAAACAAACAAACACAAAGGCTACTCTTTACTGGTACTGTGTATGTATATACAGTGGGGAGAACAAGTATTTGATACACTGCCGATTTTGCAGGTTTTCCTACTTACAAAGCATGTAGAGGTCTGTCATTTTTATCATAGGGACACTTCAACTGTGAGAGACGGAATCTAAAACAAAAATCCAGAAAATCACATTGTATGATTTTTAAGTAATTCATTTGCATTTTATTGCATGACATAAGTATTTGATCACCTACCAACCAGTAAGAATTCAGTCTCTCACAGACCTGTTATTTTTTCTTTAAGAAGCCCTCCTGTTCTCCACTCATTACCTGTATTAACTGCACCTGTTTGAACTCGTTACCTGTATAAAAGACACCTGTCCACACACTCAATCAAACAGACTCCAACCTCTCCACAATGGCCAAGACCAGAGAGCTGTGTAAGGACATCAGGGATAAAATTGTAGACCTGCACAAGGCTTGGATGGGCTACAGGACAATAGGCAAGCAGCTTGGTGAGAAGGCAACAACTGTTGGCGCAATTATTAGAAAATGGAAGAAGTTCAAGATGACGGTCAATCACCCTCGGTCTGGGGCTCCATGCAAGATCTCACCTCGTGGGGCATCAATGATCATGAGGAAGGTGAGGGATCAGCCCAGAACTACACAGCAGGACCTGGTCAATGACCTGAAGAGAGCTCGGACCACAGTCTCAAAGAAAACCATTAGTAACACACTACGCCGTCATGGATTAAAATCCTGCAGCGCACGCAAGGTCCCCCTGCTCAAGCCAGCGCATGTCCAGGCCCGTCTGAAGTTTGCCAATGACCATCTGGATGATCCAGAGGAGGAATGGGAGAAGGTCATGTGGTCTGATGAGACAAAAATATAGCTTTTTGGTCTAAACTCCACTCGCCGTGTTTGGAGGAAGAAGAAGGATGAGTACAACCCCAAGAACACCATCCCAACCGTGAAGCATGGAGGTGGAAACATCATTCTTTGGGGATGCTTTTCTGCAAAGGGGACAGGACGACTGCATCGTATTGAGGGGAGGATGGATGGGGCCATGTATCGCGAGATCTTGGCCAACAACCTCCTTCCCTCAGTAAGAGCATTGAAGATGGGTCGTGGCTGGGTCTTCCAGCATGACAACGACCCGAAACACACAGCCAGGGCAACTAAGGAGTGGCTCCGTAAGAAGCATCTCAAGATCCTGGAGTGGCCTAGCCAGTCTCCAGACCTGAACACAATAGAAAATCTTAGGAGGGAGCTGAAAGTCCGTATTGCCCAGCGACAGCCCCGAAACCTGAAGGATCTGGAGAAGGTCTGTATGGAGGAGTGGGCCAAAATCCCTGCTGCAGTGTGTGCAAACCTGGTCAAGACCTACAGGAAACGTATGATCTCTGTAATTGCAAACAAAGGTTTCTGTACCAAATATTAAGTTCTGCTTTTCTGATGTATCAAATACTTATGTCATGCAATAAAATGCCAATTAATTACTTAAAAATCATACAATGTGATTTTCTGGATTTTTGTTTTAGATTCCGTCTCTCACAGTTGAAGTGTCCCTATGATAAAAATGACAGACCTCTACATGCTTTGTAAGTAGGAAAACCTGCAAAATCGGCAGTGTATCAAATACTTGTTCTCCCCACTGTATATGTATATATACAAATGTATATATATATATATACACACAGTGGCTTGCGAAAGTATTCACCCCCCTTGGAATTTTCCTATTTTGTTGCCTTACAACCTGGAATTAAAATAAAAAAATTTGGGGGGTTGTATCATTTGATTTACACAACATGCCTACCACTTTGAAGATGCAATATATTTTTTATTGTGAAACAAACAAGAAATAAGACAAAAAAAACAGCAAACTTGGGCGTGCATAACTATTCACCCCCATAGAGTCAATACTTTGTAGAGCCACCTTTTGCAGCAATTACAGCTGCAAGTCTCTTGGGGTATGTCTCTATAAGCTTGGCACATCTAGCCACTGGGATTTTTGCCCATTCTCCAAGGCAAAACTGCTCCAGCTCCTTCAAGTTGGATGGCTTCCACTGGTGTACAGCAATCTTTAAGTCATACCACAGATTCTCAATTGGATTGAGGTCTGGGCTTTGTCTAGGCCGTTCCAAGACATTTAAATGTTTCCCCTTAAACCACTCGAGGGTTGCTTTAGCAGTATACTTAGGGTAATTGTCCTGCTGGAAGGTGAACCTCCGTCCCAGTCTCAAATCTCTGGAAGACTGAAACAGATTTCCCTCAAGAATTTCCCTGTATTTAGCGCCATCCATCATTCCTTCAATTTTGACCAGTTACCCAGTCCCTGCCGATGAAAAACATCCCCACAGCATGATGCTGCCACCACCATGCTTCACTGTGGGGATGGTGTTCTCGGGGTGATGAGAGGTGTTGGGTTTGCGCCAGACATAGCGTTTTCCTTGATGGCCAAAAAGCTCAATTTTTGTCTCATCTGACCAGAGTACCTTCTTCCATATGTTTGGGGAGTCTCCCACATGCCTTTTGGCGAACACCAGACGTGTTTGCTTATTTTTTTCTTTAAGCAATGGCTTTTTTCTGGCCACTCTTCCGTAAAGCCCAGCTCTGTGGAGTGTACGGCTTAAAGTGGTCTTATGGACAGATACTCCAATCTCCGCTGTGGAGCTTTGCAGCTCCTTCAGGATTATCTTTGGTCTCTTTGTTGCCTCTTTGATTAATGCCGTCCTTGCCTGGTCCGTGAGTTTTGGTGGGCGGCCGTCTCTTGGCAGGTTTGTTGTGGTGCCATATTCTTTCAATTTTTTTCAAAGTTTCTGATATTTGTTTTATAACCCAACCCTGACCTGTACTTCTCCACAACTTTGTCCCTGACCTGTTTGGAGAGCTCCTAGGTCTTCATGGTGCCGCTTGCTTGGTGGTGCCCCTTGCTTAGTGTCGTTGCAGACTCTGGGGCCTTTCAGAACAGGTGTATATATACTGAGATCATGTGACAGATCATGTCACTTAGATTGCAAACAGGTGGACTTTATTGAACTAATTATGTGACTTCTGAAGGTAATTGGTTGCACCAGATCTTATTTAGGGGCTTCATAGCAAAGGGGTTGAATACATATGCACGCACCACTTTTCCGTTATTAAATTTTTTGAAACATGTTATTTTTTTCATTTCACTTCACCAATTTGGACTATTTTGTGTATGTCCATTACATGAAATCCAAATAAAAATCAATTTAAATTACAGGTTGTAATGCAGCAAAATAGGAAAAACGCCAAGGGGGATGAATACTTTTGCAAGGCACTGTATATATACAGTACCAGTCAAAAGTTTGGACACACCTACTCATTCTACATTGTAGAATAAGAGTGTGCAAAGCTGTCATCAAGGCAAAGAGTGGCTATTTGAAGAATCTCAAATTTAAAATATATTTTGATTTGTTTAAACACTTTTTTGGTTACTACATGATTCCATATGTGTTATTTCATAGTTTTGATGTCTTCACTATTATTCTACAATGTAGAAAAGAGTAAAAATAAATAAAAACCGAATGAGTTGGTGTTCTAAAACTTTTGACCGGTAGTGTGTAGGTAGGGGTATAGTTACTAGGCAACAGGATAGATAATAAGCAGTAGTTGCAGCAGCGTATGTGATGAGTCAAAAAAGTTAGTACAAATGCAGATAGTCAGGGTAGATATTTGGTTAACTATTCAGTCTTATGCCTTGGGGGTAGAAGCTGTTCAGGGTCCTGTTGGTTCCATACTTGGTGCATCGGTACCGCTTGCCGTGCGGTAGCAGAGAGAACAGTCTATGGCTTAGGTGGCTGGAGTCTTTGACCATTTTTGGGGGCTTTCCTCCGACACCGCCTGGTATATTGGTCCTGGATGGCAGGGAGCTCGGCCCCAGTGATGTACTGGGCCGTACGCACTACCCTCTGCAGCGCAATGAGGTCGGATGCCAAGCAGTTGCCATACCAGGCGATGATGCAGCCAGTAAAGATGCTCTCAATGGTGCAGCTGTAAAACTTTGAGGATCTGAGGGCCCATGCCAAATCTTTTCAGCCTCCAGAGGGTGCCTTCTTCATGACTGTGTTGGTGTGTATGTTAATTCCTTAGTGATGTGGACACGCAGTCGTGGGTGAACAGGGAATAGAGGAGGGGACTAAGCACGCACCTATGAGGTTCCCATATTGAGGGTCAGCGTGGCAGATGTGTTGTTGCCTACCCTCACCACCTGGGGGTGGCCCGTCAGAAAGTCCAGGATCCAGTTTCAGAGTGAGATGTTCAGGTCCTGAGATTAGTGATGAGCTTTGAGGGCACTATGGTGTTGAACGCTGAGCTGTTGTCAATTAACAGCATTCTCACATAGGTGTTCCTTTTGTCCAGGTGGGCATTGTGGAGTGCAATAGAGATTGCGTCATCTGTGGATCTGTTGGGGCGGTATGCAAATTGGAGTGGGTCTAGGGTTTCTGGGATAATGGTGTTAATGTGAGCCATGACCAGCCTTTCAAAGCACTTCATGGCTACAGACGTGAGTGCTACGGGTCAGTAGTCATTTAGACAGGTTACCTTGGCGTTCTTGGGAACGGGGACTATGGTGGTCTGCTTGAAACATGAAGGTATTACAGACTCAGACAGGGAGAGGTTGAAAATGTCAGTGAAGACACTTGCCAGCTGGTCAGCGCATACTCGGAGTACGCGTCCTGGTAATCCGTCTGACCCTGCGGCCTTGTGAATGTTAACCTGCTTTAAAGGTTTTACTCACATCGGCTACGGAGAGCGAGAGTACACAGTCGTCCGGAACAGCTGGTGCTCTCATGCATGATTCAGTGTTGCTTGCATCAAAGCGAGCATAGAAGGAATTTAGCTTGTCTGGTAGGCTCGCGTCACTTTGCAGCTCGCGGCTGGGTTTCCCTTTTGTAATCCGTGATAGTTTGCAAGCCCTGCCACATCCGACGAGCATCAGAGCCGGTATAGTATTGATCTTAGTCCCGTATTGGTCAGAAGACCTCTTTTAAAAAAGGGAGGAAATGCAGGTGTGGATTAAGCACAACCTTACTATGTTTATCGAACCCACCAACTAAGTCATAAGGTGATAACTAGGTGATAAGAGGACCACAATGGAAATAAACCTGTGTTTTTATCCTTGATCATTTTAATGTATGCAATTTTCTCTCTGGCTGAAGCAGCCTTCTACTTTGAATGATCGAATATATTAAAATCTATCCACTAACTGAACATGCTGTTACCTTTTCATTGCGAGGAAAGAGAGGCTCCTTATCCGCTGCTCTCCTGGGCGTCATGTGGGGTTCAAAGTGCACCAGGCGAAAGGTTTTACCTGCCGCCAGGTAGCGGGTCAGCCAGCTAGATGCCTCATCTCCACAGTCCCTTCCCTGGATGTCTGTGCTGAACACTCTGGGGCACAGACAGCAGAGTTAGACACTTTCCGCTTCCCAAATGGCAGCCTATTCCCCATTTAGAAGACTACTTTTGACCAAGGACCATAGCAAAAGAAGTGCACTATCTAGGGAATGAGGTGCCATTTGGGACGGGGCCACTATGTGGATTGTATTAGACACTGTCTGTACTCAAGGCACTGTTGTAAAGAACTACACATTTGTTAAGACAGTTAAAGCAAAAAGACTGAATATAGGTATCATGCCAGTATATTTTTTAATCTCTCCGTCTCTCAGTTTCAAACCTCTCTGGTTAAAAGGTTGTGAGCAGTCTGTCTTAACTAACCTCAACAGGTTCCAGTGTGGTGACTGGAGGATAAATGATCTAATTAACCTCAACAGGTTCCAGTGTGGTGACTGGAGGGTAAATGACACATCGACAGAGGTGGAAAGGAGAGAACATAGGGAGATGGGTTCTGGAGGTGATGTCATCATGTAAAATTGATTTTAGGAGGCTCCAGGAGTGATTTTGTCCATTTCCAGCACTGTCTATCAACCAACCTGCAAATGATGGGGTATTTGTATTTATTTGGATCCCCATTAGTTCCTGCCAAGGCAGCAACTACTCTTCCTGGGGTTTATTATGGATCCCCATTAGTTCCTGCCAAGGCAGCAGCTACTCTTCCTGGGGTTTATTATGGATCCCCATTAGTTCCTGCCAAGGCAGCAGCTACTCTTCCTGGGGTTTATTATGGATCCCCATTAGTTCCTGCCAAGGCAGCAGCTACTCTTCCTGGGGTTTATTATGGATCCCCATTAGTTCCTGCCAAGGCAGCAGCTACTCTTCCTGGGGTTTATTATGGATCCCTATTAGTTCCTGCCAAGGCAGCAGCTACTCTTCCTGGGGTTTATTATGGATCCCCATTAGTTCCTGCCAAGGCAGCAGCTACTCTTCCTGGGGTTTATTATGGATCCCCATTAGTTCCTGCCAAGGCAGCAGCTACTCTTCCTGGGGTTTATTATGGATCCCCATTAGTTCCTGCCAAGGCAGCAGCTACTCTTCCTGGGGTTTATTATGGATCCCCATTAGTTCCTGCCAAGGCAGCAGCTACTCTTCCTGTGGTTTATTATGGATCCCCATTAGTTCCTGCCAAGGCAGCAGCTACTCTTCCTGGGGTCCAGCAAAATGAAGGCAGTTATATACAATTTTAAAAACATGAGAATTAGGGCTGACCCCATTTAGTCGACTGGTCGATTGTTTGGTCGATGGGCTGCTGGTCGACCGACATTTCTTTAGTCAAGCAGTAGCAAAACATTTTATATAAATATCATGGTGTACAAGACACCTGTCTGATTGGCTCCTGTCTGAGTGGACTGATGCATTGTGGAGGCCTGTCTGATTGGCTCCTGTCTGAGTGGACTGATGCATTGTGGAGGCCTGTCTGATTGGCTCCTGTCTGAGTGGACTGATGCATTGTGGAGGCCTGTCTGATTGGCTCCTGTCTGAGTGGACTGATGCATTGTGGAGGCCTGTCTGATTGGCTCCTGTCTGAGTGGACTGATGCATTGTGGTGGACTGTCTGATTGGCTCCTGTCTGAGTGGACTGATCCATTGTGGAGGCCTGTCTGATTTTAAATCTGATTCTACTGCTTGCATCAGTTACTTGATGTGGAATAGAGTTCCATGTAGTCATGGCTCTATGTAGTACTGTGCATCTCCCATAGTCTGTTCTGGACTTGGGGATTGTGAAGAGACGCCTGGTGGCATGTCTTGTGGTGTATGTATGGGTGTCTGAGCTGTGTGCTAGTAGTTTAAAACAGACAGCTCGGTGCATTCAACATGTCAACACTTCTCACAAATACAAGTAGTGATGAAGTCAGTCTCTGACATGCTCTACGTGTGCATTTAAGGGCCAGCCGTGCTGCCCTGTTCTGGGCCAATTGTAGTTTTCCTAAGTCCCTCTTTGTGGTACCTGACCACATGACTGAACAGTAGTCCAGGTGTGACAAAACTAGGGCCAGCGCTTTATTATGGACAGACTTCTCCCCATCCTAGCTACTGTTGTATCAATATGTTTTGACCATGACAGTTTACAATCCAGGGTTAATCTAAGCAGTTTAGTCTCCTCAACTTGTTCAATTTCCACATTTATTCATTACAAGTTTTAGTTGAGGTTTAGGGTTTAGTGAATGATTTGTCCCAAAATACAATGCTTTTAGTTTTTTTTTGGAAATATTTAGAACTAACTTATTCCTTGCCACCCCATTCTGAAACTGCCTACAGCTCTTTGTTAAGTGTTGCAGTGATTTCACTCGCTGTGGTAGCTGACGTGTACAGTGTTGAGTCATCCGCGTACGTAGACACACAAGCTTTACTCAGAGCCAGTGGCAAGTGGGCTGCAGCTGCTCCTCACACCTGCAGTTGATGACAGGGTTGTTGGGCTGCATTAAGGGGAACCTGAGCTCCTCCATGTCTGGTCCGTTCAGACTCGTCCGACCCCCCTCACTGGTCAGAGAGACCAGAACAAGGCGAGGCTCCTGTCTGCCCGTCACGAAATGACCATCCTCCTCAGTGATCACCAGCCAGTGTCTGCAGCAAAACAAATCATTTTTTTAGTCATTTAGCGGACACTCTTTATCTAGAGTGACTTACAGTTAGTTGGTTAGTTAGTGCATTCATCATACAGTACGACAGGCGCAACGCAGCGCAGCGCAGCGTTCTCCACTAGCGCCTTGAACGGCGGCATTTTAATTTACAGGACATTTGAGAAATTGAACCGGACCCATATGCATTGGGTGCTTAACATGATTAGGGCTTCAACCCACAGTGCTCAGAATGACAGTAATCACATTTACAGTGGGGAGAACAAGTATTTGATACACTGCCGATTTTGCAGGTTTTTTTTATACAGGTAACGAGTTCAAACAGGTGCAGTTTAATACAGGTAATGAGTGGAGAACAGGAGGGCTTCTTAAAGAAAAACTAACAGGTCTGTGAGAGACGGAATTCTTACTGGTTGGTAGGTGATCAAATACTTATGTCATGCAATAAAATACAAATTAATTACTTAAAAATCATACAATGTGATTTTCTGGATTTTTGTTTTAAATTCTCACAGTTGAAGTGTACCTATGATAAAAATTACAGACCTCTACTTGCTTTGTAAGTAGGAAAACCTGCAAAATCTGTAGTGTATCAAATACTTGTTCTCCCCACTGTAGATTATGGTAATTCATCTTAACAGAACATGCAAGTTTTAAGATGTTAGAATAACTGTCCACGGTGCCTCCCGAGTGGCGCAGCGGTCTAAGGCACTGCATCACAGTGCTTGAGGCATCACTACAGACCCGGGTTCAATCCTGGGCTGTGTCGCAGTCGGCCGCGACCGGGAGACCCATGAGGCGACGCACAATTGGTCGTCCAGGTTAGGGGCGGGTTTGGCCGGCCGGGATGTCCTTGTCCCATCGCGCTCTAGCGACTCCTTGTGGCGGGCCGGGCGCATGCACGCTGACACGGTCGCCAGCTGTACAGTGCTTCCTCCGACACATTGGTGCGGCTTCCGGGTTAAACGAGCAGTGTGTCAAGAAGCAGTGAGGCTTGGCAGAGTTCGTGTTTCGGAGGACGCGTGGCTCTCGACCTTCGCCTCTCCCGAGTCCGTACGGGAGTTGCAGCGGGACGGGACAAGACTGTAACTACCAATTGGGGAGAAAAAGGGGTAAAAAAATTTAAATAACTGTCCACATTTACTTCCTCAGCCAACAAGACGAGTAACGAACAGCAAAATCACTAACCTATGCATTTTCACCATAACAATTCACCTTTATAATACAGCATTCCATGCATCATCACACTTGCAGACTTATGTAAAATAGCCTTCTAGTCATAATGTGATGAGTAGATTGGATAGTCATAATGTAGGCTAATAATAACTTAAATTCACTGTTCGCAAAAAAATACCATTCAATACCTGGCTGAGTGTGTATAGTGTAGGCCTGGGTTATCAGATGTATTCTGTCTTTTCACGGGAAAAACACATTTCATGCAATTCTACTACACTTTATATGACTGGAGACATTAGCAGAATATTTTTTAATACAACAAATTACAGGGTAGCCTACTCTGCTGACGCTGTCAAACAGACCAATAAAAACGACGTCGTCCATATACACTGAACAAAAAACATAAACGCAACATGTAAAGTGTTGGTCTCGTGTTTCATGAGCTGAAATAAAAAGATCCCAGAAATGTTTCATACGCACAAAAAAGCATATTTCTCTCAAATTTTGTGCACAAATTTGTTTACATCCCTTTTAGTGAGCATTTCTCCTTTGCCAAAATAATCCACCTGACAGTTGTGGCATATCAACAAGCTTGTGGCCTGCCTTCCCACCACAGGGCGGAGACATGAGCATCTGTCATTATATTCAGATCTCTGGTGTAAATGTGAAGGTGCAGAACAAAACCTTGATTCTTGCGATACAGGCTTTTGGAATATCGCGCAAAAACATTAATTTGAATGAATTCGATATACAGTGCATTCGGACCCAAGTATTCAGACCCTTTTCCACATTTTGTTACGTTACAGCCTTATTCTGTCATGTTGCTGTCTAGGTGGTCTACCCTGACATTGGTCCTGTCATGTTGCTGTCTAGGTGGTCTACCCTGACATTGGTCCTGTCATGTTGCTGTCTAGGTGGTCTACCCTGACATTGGTCCTGTCATGTTGCTGTCTAGGTGGTCTACCCTGACATTGGTCCTGTCATGTTGCTGTCTAGGTGGTCTACCCTGACATTGGTCCTGTCATGTTGCGGTCTAGGTGGTCTACCCTGACATTGGTCCTGTCATGTTGCTGTCTAGGTGGTCTACCCTGACATTGGTCCTGTCATGTTGCTGTCTAGGTGGTCTACCCTGACATTGGTCCTGTCATGTTGCTGTCTAGGTGGTCTACCCTGACATAGGCTAATTGACAATATTTGAGTCAATTGGAGGTGTACCTGTGGATGTATTTCAAGGCCTACCTTCAAACTCAGTGCCTCTTTGCTTGACATCATGGGAAAATCTAAAGAAATCAGCCAAAAACTCAGAACAAAAATGAGTCTGGTTCATCCTTGGGAGCAATTTCCAAACGCCTGAAGGTACCACGTTCATCTGTATAAACGATAGTACGCAAGTATAAACACCATGGGACCACGCAGCCGTCATACCGCTCAGGAAGGAGACACGTTCTGTCTCCTAGAGATGAACGTACTTTGGTGCGAAAAGTGCAAATCAATCCCAGAACAACAGCAAAGGACCTTGTGAAGATGCTGGAGGAAACAGGTACAAAAGTATCTATATCCACAGTAAATCGAGTCCTATATCGACATACCCTGAAAGGCCGCTCAGCAAGGAAGAAGCCACTGCTCCAAAACCGCCATAAAAAAGCCAGACTACGGTTTGCAACTGCACATGGGGATAAGGATCGTACTTTTTGGAGAAATATCCTCTGGTCTGATGAAACAAAAATAGAACTGTTTGGCCATAATGACCATCGTTATGTTTGGAGGAAAAAGGGGAGTGCTTGCAGACCGAAGAACACCATCCCAACCGTGAAGCACGGGGGTGGCAGCATCATGCTGTGGGGGTGCTTTGCTGTAGGAGGGACTGGTGCATTTCACAAAATAGATGGCATCATGAGGAAGGAGAATTATGTGGATATATTGAAGCAACACATCAGTCAGGAAGACATCAGTCAGGAAGTTAAAGCTTGGTCGCAAATGGGTCTTCCAAATGGACAATGACATTTACATTACATTTACATTGACCCCAAGCATACTTCCAATGTTGTGGCAAAATGGCTTAAGGACAACAAAGTCAAGGTATTGGAGTGGCCATCACAAAGCCCTGACCTCAATCCTATAGAAAAGTTGTGGGCAGAACTGAAAAAGCGTGTGCGAGCAAGGAGGCCTACAAACCTGACTCAGTTACACCAGCTCTGTCAGGAGGAATGGGCCAAAATTCACCCAACTTATTGTGGGAAGCTTGTGGAAGGCTACCCGAAACGTTTGACCCAAATTAAACAATTTAAAGGCAATGCTACCAAATACTAATTGAGTGTATGTAAACTTCTGATCCACTGGGAATGTGATGAAAGAAATAAAAGCTGAAATAAATCAATCATTCTCTCTACTATTATTCTGACATTTCACCTTCTTAAAATAAAGTGGTGATCATAACTGACCTAAAACAGGGAATTTAACTAGGATTAAATGTCAAGAATTGTGAAAAACTGAGTTTAAATATATTTGGCTAAGGTGAATGTAAACTTCCGACTTCAACTGTATATACTTCCATTGTTTAAACTGGTACCGGGGATCTTTAGATGAGTCTTGTGGGCATCATGTTCATCAGAGTCCCATCTTTCAATAGAGTGGTATCAATAATAGTTTGTAGGCCAAACCGTTCGGACGCTACAGACGTTGTTGTGAGAAGACCGATTTTCGGGATGTCTCCTGGTCTGACAAACACCGCTCTAGCTCTGTCACCTTCCACTGCAGATGCGGAAGGGCGATATCGGTGGACGCATCCAATGCAAAAAATAAAACATATCTCTAACTTAAAACAGAGGGATTTTGATTGGGATTTTGGTATTATGTTAATTTGATTGTAGGCCAAGGGTTAATTCAAATGCTCGCCTTGCAAGAGGCTTGGTAGAGTTTGCAACTAAAGCTGTGTTCACATTGGCAGTTTGAAGTGACTCAAATCCTTTTATTTTATTTTTTATATTCGATTAGAATCTTTTCTTTTTTTCTGCACTGAACAGCCAAAACGCACATGGAATTGGATATTTCAAGCCACATGGTGGTTGGAAGTTAGATACAAAATCTGATTCCTGGCCATGTGATGTATCTGATTTATTCACTGATTTATTTATTCACTGAATCACTGATTTATTTGCCCTCAAGTGATTTTTAGACTGTTATTTGGCTAATCTTGTTGCTTGCTAGCTACTCTGTTGACAGTTTGACAAGAAAACATGTGGTAGCCAACTAGCTTGTTAATTTTTTACAAACAAATTAGTGAATGTGCTAGAAAGCTAAACAGCTACCAAGCTAGCTAGTTGACCGCTGTGGCTAGCCAAAAACGACTTGTTCTGAAAGTTGAATAATAATTTTATCCTTTGAGGCTTTAAAAGTGTCCTTCCACTATGATTTTGAGAATTCAAAGCAACTGGGAAACGTCCATGGCAGGCATTGTTGTCACCTCAGCTTGCTACATGACTTCCGAGTGATAGGAAAGCACGAGCGCCACCAATCAGCCTAAACCAGTGCACACAGCCGTCGTTACTATGACAACTAGCCATGTCAGCAAATGACTGCTGTCTGAACACACACAAATCCGATTTGGTCACTTGCAATTGGACAGTTAGTATTCCAAAACGGATTAGAAAAACAAAAACTGATTTGAACATTAAGGCCTGCAGTGTGAACAAGGCTCAACAAGACGAGAGTCACTCACTTTAGCGTCCCTGTCTGATAAGACCCTAGCCTCTTCGCTCCGGGAGACCTGTACACAGATCCCGTACCCAGAAAAACATATTTACCAGCCCTCTGGTTGACCTATAGACGGGTTAGTTGATTAGCAACAAAAAACGAGGCGTGCGCAACTATGGGGCAAAACAGACAGGGGTTGGTTTAGAATGTTGACAACGTGTAAACTATATCTCATGTCCAATGTTTATTGAAAACATAAATACATTTGCACGTACACTATATATACAAAAGTACGTGGGCACCCCTTCAAATTAGTGGATTCGGCTATTTCAGCCACACCCGTTGCTGACAGGTGTATAAAATCGAGCACACAGCCATGCAATCTCCATAGACAAACATTGGCAGTAGAATGGCCTTACTGAAGAGCTCAGTGACATTCAACGTGGCACCGTCATAGGATGCCACATTTCCAACAAGTCAGTTCATCAAAATTCTGCCCTGCTAGAGCTGCCCCGTTCAACTGTAAGTGCTGTTATTGTGAAGTGGAAACGTCTATGAGTAACAACGGCTCAGCCGTGAAGTGGTAGGCCACACAAAATCAGAGAACAGGACTGCCGAGTGCTTAAGCGTGTAAGAATTGTCTATCCTTGGTTGCAACACTCACTACCGAGTTCCAAACTGCCTCTGAGCACGTCAGCCAAACTGTCTCGGGAGCTCCAATGAAATCTGGTTTCGTGGGCCACCCTCCAACCAATTCCATTCCACCATGTCGCTAGTGGTGGCTCGCACACAAGCCTAATATCACAAAAAATGCGCAATGCCAAACGTTCGGCGGAATTTGTGTAAGGCTCGCCCGCGCCATTTTACTTGGAGAGGTCATGGACAACTGAACGTTCTCTGGAGTGATGAATCACGCTTCACCATCTGGCAATCCGACGACGAATCTGTGTTTGGCGGATGCCAGGAGAACATTACCTGCCCCAATGCATAGTGCCTACTGTAAAGTTTGGTGGAGGAGGAATAATGGTCTGGGGCTGTTTTTCATGGTTTCGGGCAATACAATGTGTGAACTATGGTAAAAATAAACATTTACATTTTCCGAAGCTCACTCCCTAGTCCCCATACTCTGTTGCCATGCGAGGTTACCGTGTGAACCCAGATAGCGGCACACCTTTTGGGAGATACGGTGTGAATTTGGTCAACTCTAGAAAAGTTGGATATAAAAAATTATTTTCACACATTGTATAGCCCCGGAACTACTGTTAAGGCATTCCAGATTATAGACTTGCCTTTGGTGACAGGAAAAGTTTCTGGGAAACAGGTCAACCAGAGGGCTGGTAAATATGTTGTTTTCGGGGTATGGGATGTCACCTTCAGCGACAGGAGATCAATGTGTAAAATTACAGGTCTCCCGAAGCGAAGAGGTTAGCAAGCCCCGACATCCCAGGAAAGGAAACCTTTTTAAATCCTTTGGTTTACTTGTCCCGATGTGATCCCATGGACATATAACCACGTTGCATGATTTATGAATGACGAAGGGATATAGGAGATCGACTTTATTCAGTCAGTTTCGATACCTTTTATAAACTAGTCAACACTTGCTGTTCAGTTGTCAATCAACGCACAGTAAATAGCCTACTATGTGCCACTACTCCACTTGTTTGGCTTTTGTGATACACTCAAAAATAAAATAAATGAATGTGTCCGAAAACAATAATGAGTCTACGTCTTAGACTCATGGGAAATTCATGAGCATCATCCTCCTCCCACTCCTCCATGGAAAGACATTTGACTGTGTTGGATTCTAGCTTGAAATATACTTCTTCGTGTTACCATACTAGAACGTATTGATTACTTTACATGTATAAGGAATGTATATGTTGTTGGGGTCAATGAAGGCTAGATAGGGACTTGGTGTATGGAACGTTACTGAGTGAGATAAATGGGAAGTGCAGAAATATTCTGTTCCATGTTTCTGAGGGAGGCGAATGGCAATACTTAGTCTCTGATAAGGCAGGCCAACTGCGGAACTAGGGAGGAGCCAGGAATTCATCTCAAGGTCAAGTCACCAGATGACGTTTGAGAAGAAACCTCTGGGAAGGGGGGGGGGGGGGCCAGAGGGGCCCATCACAACGATCGTCCTCCTATCTCACACATATACACTTCCACGCCCACCAAGGTTCTAGCATCAGGCAGGGCCATGACTACACCAGTGAGAGGAACCAATTAAGTTCCTGCCTAGCAACAGAGATGTATTGGCTATCTAGATGTGTAAGGAGTTGACCCCAACCTAGTAGGAGGGTTATAAATATATGTGCTTGTGTAATCATGCCTTGTCTTTGCAGCTGTATGACCCAGTGGGTGAATAAACTTGGTTAGAGCGTTTTATTCTGTTTGTTCAGAACCTAACAACT